TGTTTACAAACATACATATACAAATAATATACAAATAATATACAATATACAAATATTATACAATATACAAATATTTACACATATTTATGAGAGAGAGAGAGAGAGAGAGAGAGAGAGAGAGAGAGAGAGAGAGAGAGAGAGGGAGAGAGAGAGAGAGAACAAATTAGTTTATTGTATTAATCGCTTAGTTTAAATATCTCATTTCTTCGTTTATTACATAAATATAAGAATAAAGCAAGTTTTGACAATTCTTTAACATTATTTACAGACAGCAATTGTACTAATTTGTAAAAAGAAGGATATATATAGTAATATTTTTTGATATAAAACTCTATAGTCCGTGAAGTATGGAGTATATGGTGATATTCGTTTTCAACTTCCGATAGATTACATAGTGTACATATTCTACTACTTCTTTCGATATTCTTAAAACGACCAATTTCAATATTTAAATTCTGTGAAGATAAACGTAATTTTGAAATGTATTTAATATATCGGGGATTAATAGGCTTAGTTAAATAATACTGGAGATTAAAATTTAAAATAAGATGTTGATATAAAAGCCCTTTTGGTGAGCAACAAATATTCTGGTAACAATCTTGATTGAAATTATCCTGTAAACGTTGTTTTGTAGTTAAAAATGTAGATTTATCACAACAGCTTCCTTCCAATATATAACCCAGACCAATATTAAATAATTCATTTTTAACATTAATTATCCAAATATCATTATTATTTATCATGTTTTTGATACAATATGAAAGTATTATATTGTCTGTGGTTATTAGTTTGAAAAAATATTTAAAAATTTGAATTTTACGTAATATATGCATTGGGTATCTACCGAGTTCAAAATAGATCATATCATTGTTTGTGGTTTGACGAACGTTTAGAATTTTTTTTACAAAATGAGGAGTGATTTTTTTCTATATCTGATGCTTTATGAAAACCCCAAATTTCAGAGCCGTAGTTTAAAATACTTTTTACATAGGTATTAAAAACGAAAAGTTTGGTTTCTACATTAAAATAATTATCATTACACCCTTTAGAAACTGAATATAATGCCTTTCTCAGATATATTCCTTTGGGTTTTTGTAAATTTACCATTAAACTTCAATAAAATTCCGAGATAGTTGAATTCGTTTACTATTTCTGATGTCTGCTTATTGTAAGTCCAAATCTCATTGCCTTTTAATTTGCCACCATTTCGGAAGACAAGTATTTTTGTTTTAGCTACATTGACAGTTAATTTCCATTTGGATGTATATTTCTCAAGTGAACTAAGTAAATCTTGGAGACCCTCTGGAGGTTATTACCTTATCATCTGCATACATTAATAAGAAAAGATTTAAAGACAACAATGAAATTGCGGGGCAATTGTCGGAGATAAAGTTTGATTCTATATCGTTTACGTAAAGTGAAAAAAGAATGGGAGATAATATTTCTCCCTGGAAAAGACCAATGCAACAATTAAAGATGCTTGACAAATCACCATTCAGCTTGACACGACTTTTCACTTTCTCATATAGTGATCTAATAAGTCTTAAGATTTGTCCATCAATTCCTTCTTTGATCAATTTACACCATAGACAACTTTGGTTAATAGAATCCAAAGCGATCTTATAGTCTACAAAGCTACAGTATAATCTATTCTTTGACTTTAAAGTACGATTAACTAAGGATTGTAGGGCAAATATTGCATCTGTGGTTGATAACCCTTTTCTAAATCCAAATTAGCTGAGTGAAATGATTTTATATGTTTCATCAAAGTTTTGTAGTAAATAATTTACCCATGCAACTTAATAATGTAATACCTCTATAGTTTTCTGGGAGATTTGGATCACCTTTATTTTTATATACAGGGACAATGTGTCCTTCACACCAAGCTGATGGAAAACAACCAGAGTTTAAAACATTATTAAATAATACACTTAAAGATGGTAAAAGTCATCT